CAGGAGGACCTGAGTTCAAATCCAGACTCAGACACATAACACTTAACTAGCTGTGTGACCCTGGGCAAGTCACTTAACCCCATTGCCTAGCAAAAAATTAAAAAAAAAATTTAAGAAATTTGTTTTAACTTGAATTTGTTGGGATAATCATAACAATGAATTACATTTCTCCAGAGCTTTATGGTTTACAAAACACTTTCTTCACAACAACCCTTTGAAGTATGTAGTGTATTTTTGCCTCCATTTTACAGATGAAGAAACAAAGCTTAAGGAAGAGGAGAGTTAGGTGGAGAGGAGCAGGGAGGTGGGGGAATAGTGAGCAAACAAACAAACAGGTGGGACTCATTGGGAGAATGGCAGATGTAGAATGTACCGTTCAGTCAGGCAGCACTTATTAAGCACCTTCTTGTGTGCTAGGCACGACTGCTGGGGATTTTTTTACAAAGTAAAAACCAAAACAGTTCCTGCTCTTAAGGAGCTTACTTTGTACCAGAGGAGAAGAACATGTAAATAATAAGGTGATACAGAATAAATACAAAATAGATATAATTTTGGAGTGGGGAGGCATTAACAACAAAGAAAATTAGGAAATATCTTTTCTAGGAGGAGATAGGCCTTCAGATGAACTTTGAAGAGAGCTCAGGATTCTAGGAGATGTGTATGAAGAGTGAGGTGTTCCAGTCCTGGGGCACAGCCTAGGTAAAGGCCTGGGTGGGAGATGGAGTGCTATGGGGGGTTGGGAGGACGAACAGGAGGTCCTTCTGTGTGGCTGGAATCTAGAGTGTAGGAGGGGGATTAGTATGAGATCAGTCGAAAAGATAGCATAAAGCCAGATGGTAAGGACTGGTAAGTGACAGGCAGAGGAATTAGCATTTTGTCAGTAGGGAGCTTCCTGAGCAGGGGACTGCCGTAGTTTGATCTGTACTCTAGACTTATCAGTTTGGCAGCTGTTTGGAGGGTGGATTGGATAGGGGAGAGATGAAGGAGCAGGAGTAGGAGGCTATTGTAATATCCACATGAGAAGTGAGGAGGGCCTGACTGAGGCCTTAGAAGGGGAGAGAAGAGGATGAATGCAAGAGATATCATAGAGATTGAATTGACAACACTTGAGACCTCATGGGACATGGAGGTTGAAGGACAGTATAGTGTAGGGGTTGACTGAGCTTTTGAACTTGGGTCACGTCCCCCACAGAAATGGAGAAGGCTGGGATGTGGAAGAGAGATGATGAGTTTTGTTTTGGACACAACTTAAGTGTGAAATATCTCTGGGCTATGTAGTTGGAGATGTCTGCTAGGCAGTTGTTGATAGGGGGTTGAGGCTCAGAGAGACGTTGCGGTTGGATGTGTAGATTTGGCAGTCATCTCCGTAGAGATCATAATTGAACCATGGTATCTGGTGACCTGACTGAGAGGGCATAGAGAGTGAAAAGAAGGCCTAAGACAAAGGTTGGGGGACCCTCCTGGCTAGAGGACACAGCATAGATGATAATCCAGCAGAGGAGTAGAAGAACCAGGCTCTCGAGAGAGCTGTGCCCTAAACATCTAAAGAGGAGGAGGGTTTGGCCGGTGGTGTCAGTTGCTTCTGAGAGGCCAAGGAGGAAGACCAAGGAAATTTCCCAGGTTTTAGTAATTCAGAAATTATTAGGAACCTTGGAGTGGAGTTTCTGTTGAGTGCTATTAGAACACCCAGATTGGAAGGGGTTGAGAAGTGAGAGAAAAGAGAGGAAGAATGTGTAGACCATGCTTGTAGAAGAGTGTAGACTGCTTTTTTTTTTTTACTCCCTAGGGGTTCAGTTATGGAAGAAAGAGAAGAGAGATATAGGATGAGGTTTAAGGTGATTAGGAGGACAAGTGAAAGATTTACTTCTTCCTTCTGTTTCCTTTATTTCTTCCCGGTCCATTGTATCAAAGTGGCCCTAGCAGGCTTTTTTCTTCATTTCTCAATCACTTGTTTTGCAGGCCTCTTAATAAACATTTTCTACCCAAGTCCTCTTTTGGGGGCCCCTGCTGTGAACTGCTCTGGATGCATCCTTGTAGCTCTTGAGAATAGTCCACTTGAATGGTTCCTTCTTCCTGCCGAAAGCAAACTTCTTTCTTCTTCCCCCCAGAACTTAACTTCCAGTTTTAACTTCTGATTCTCTTTGCCATTGGACCCCTTCTTCACGCCCTGCACTTTAGCTCCTGCATGCCCTGTGAGAGTGGCCTTTTTTCTGCCTCCGAGAAGGCTCGTGTGTCTGAGAAGCCCTTTGGTCATTCTTGATGATCTCCGGTTAGTTGGCCAGCATTTTAGCTGTCACCTGGTGCCTCTTCTGAAGAAGCAGGTTTGCATCTTCTTGCTGTATTTCCTTTGCCTTCTCAGACTTTTCCATCGAGGCCTGTTTTGTTTGCAGTTTTCGTCAGATGTTCTGCATTGCTGTTGGTTGGCTTTGCAAAGTGATCATTGGGCTGCTTGCTGAGGATTTTGTGCTAGAGGGGCCAGAACAAGGTGGAGAGGTCTAGTTATAAGGAGAAGCAGGTGGCTGGGGCCCTGGATCAGCTCCTCTGGTACTGTGGAGCCTCGTCTAAGGGTGGCCAGGTAGGTGGGGAGAGGCTGGTGCTGCTTGGTCAGCTCTGCCCCAGGAGGCAGAGGGGCCACTGGCCTTGGTGTCTGAGCGCTCCTGAGGGTTCCCTTGTCTGGGCTTGTGGTGCTGGCTATCAGCTTCTTCCTGTTTTTCCAGTAGAGTTTGTTTGTTTGTTGTTTGCCTGTTTTAAAGATCTGAGAGACCATATTGCTGCAGCCTACTTTTCTTTTTACTAGGTGTCTTTTTTTTTTTAAACATCACTTTCTTTTCTGGTTCTATCTCTTTCCCCTCCCTAATCCCTTGAGCCATTCCTGGTAACAAAGTAACAAAAAGAGGGAGAAAAAAGGTGGTTTAGCAAAATTAACCAATACACTGATCAGGGTCTCCAGCTCATAGTTTTCTACTCCTGCAGTGAAGGGAAACAGTTGTATTTCCTGAGCTCTTCATTGGAGCCCAATTTGGTCATTATAATTATATAACATTCAGTTTTATTATTCCTTCTAGTTACATTATTATAATCAATTTTGTATATTGTTTTCTTTGTTCTTATTTTACTTCGTATTGATTCATAGAAGTTTTCCTAGGCTTCTCTGGATTTTCTTTTAATATTCTATTGCATTTGTATACCCCAATTTGTTCAGCTGTTCCTTAGTCAGTGGCTACCTACTTTCTTTACAATTCTTCGTGACCACAAAAAGGGCAGCTGCGAATATTTTGATGTATATGAGATCTTTTTTTCTGTCTTTGGCCTCCTGAGGATAAATGCCTAGCAGAAACAGTGTGGAGATTTTAGTCACTTTTTCAACATAATTCCACATTGCTTTCTGGAATTTTTAAGCCAGTTTTTAGCTCGACACACAAATGTATGAGTAAGTGTACCTTGCTTCCTACAGCTCCTCCAACATTGATTATTTACATTTTTTTCATCATTGCCAGCTTGTGCAGTGTGAAGTGAAACTTAGAATTGTTTTGATTTGCATTTTTCTTAGTAGTGATTTGGAACAATCTTTCAGATGGGTAATAGTTTACCATTCCTCTTTTGAGAATTCTTTGACCACTCATCCACTGGGGAATGGCTCTTGAGCTTATATTTTTATGTTAATTTCCTACATTATCTTTAATGTCAGCCACTTATATTTGATGGAAGGATTTTTTTCCTCAGTCAGCAGTTTCCCTTATTAAGCTAGCTGCATTGATTTTGTCATGTAAAATCTGTACATTTCATGTGATGGAAATTATCTATGTTATCTTTTGTGATTCCTCCTATCCCTTGTTGGGTTAAGAGTTCTCTCTCTAGCTGTAATTGTAAAAGGTTCGAGATCCTAGTTTTTTAAGCTTTGTGTGTTCCGCCCTGTAATATTCAGGTTGCATGTTCCTTTTGAGTTAATTGTTTATGATCTAAGATGCTGGTCTCCACTCATTTCCCCCACATTACTTTCCTTTGAGAAGTGGCATTAAAGACATGCTACAGAAAGTGTGTAATTGGTGAAAGAGTTGGGCTAGTCATATAGTAACAGCACAGACAGCCTGGCTGTGATACTGGTGCCCATGTAATGGGAACAGACCTAGAGGAACTCTCAGTGTGTTGGGGGGCCTCTTGGAGCACGATTTATGGGAAGACATGAGAGTCACAAGTGGAGCGGGTATGGTTGGGTTGCCGTTGGCCATACTGGAGAGGAGATTGTACTGGTACATTTCAGTGTGAGGAATTATGCTTCCTCTGTCCTTCCTGGATGTTGTACCGAGGGGATCAAGGCCTGCAGCATCTCCGCTGTTGTATTGCACTGGCATTGGGATAATATTGGTTGAGAAACCCCTTAAAAGTTCACTTAGTTGATAACAAAGCGGCCTCTTGAGTTAGCATTATTATGTCTCCTTTACAGTGAACTTTGTCACAGGCAGTACCAGTTTATAATGGATGTGATTCAAGGCATTGAACTGAATTAATGGTGATAATAGCCAGGACCTGCATGGTACTGTAAATGTTTGCAAAGCACTTCACATGCTGTGCCATTTGATCCTCACAACAACCTTGTGAACCAGGCGCTGTTATTAACCCCATTTTACAGAGGAGGAAACTGAGTCAGAGAAAGGTTAAATGACGTAAGTGATGAGTAAATGTCTGATGGAGGATTTGGAATTAGGTCCTTCTACACTGTTGCCGTTTCTGTAAATTAAGGCCAGAGTAAGCTGGACCTGTTTATTATGCCATAGATTTATCTTGGTGTTCCTCTTCGTGGTATCCATGAAGGAAGTTCTCTTGCGGAAAGTTTCTGATCAGAGTTTTGGATCAACATTCACGCGGTTTGCATTGTATGTTTTCATGGTAGATTTCTTTGTTTATGTTCTGGTCAGTGACTCATCAGTCATTTATACTCTGTCATAGTGTGGGAAATGTGGTCTAAAATCCTCTTCTTCTTTTTTTTTTTTCTCCCTAAGATGGTTTCACCCAAATATCACTGGAGTGGAGGCAGAAAATCTACTGCTGACACGAGGAGTTGATGGCAGCTTCTTGGCCAGGCCCAGCAAGAGTAATCCAGGAGACTTCACACTTTCTGTTAGGTAAGTTAAATGGAAATCTGTGTCTGGGAAGGGTCTCAGGGCCCATCTAGTCTGACACTCATTTTACCAGGGAAATGAAATGGTCTTACCAAGGTCATAGAGGTAATAAGCGACAGAGCCGGGATTGACCCCAGATCCTTCCACCCCAGAGCTCTTTATGATAATGCATGTCAGAAGAGGGAGCTTTGGTGGGAAATGTTTATGGAGTCTTGGGCAGTAACAAGATCAGGCCTCAGCAATTTTCTGCCTTTGATATTAACTAAAATATTTTGGAGGCATCTCAGCCTGTCTCTTTTAAAGGGCAAGTAGGAACACTGGGCCGAAGGCCAGACTTGTGCATCCTGCTTGGGAGGTTTGGGGATTCTGCTTCTGTTAGTTAGGTCCTCATGAACTTGACAGAAAGGTCGGAGCACTCCTCCAGTTACTCTTCTTCTCCCCTTCCCCCACTGAGACGCTGCTTCTCGGCAAGAACCAGAAACAGTTCAAGTCGGTAAATGTCCACTGTGCTCTGGGGGAAACAAAGGAAACCAGTGATGAATTAAAGTTTTGTGAATGAGTTCTTGATCTCAGCCTCATTGGAACCTGGTTTATTTAATAATCATCATAATGAGGATGAGGATGATAATAGTCGGCATTTATATAGCACTTACTGTGTGCCAGGCACTGCTTGGTACTTTAAAAATACTTGCTCAAGGGGTGGCTAGGTGGCGTGGTGGACAGAGCACCAGCCCTGGAGTCAGGAGGACCTGAGTTCAAATCTAGCCTCAGACACATAACACTTACTAGCTGTGTGACCCTGGGCAAGTCACTTAACCCCATTGCCTAGCCCCCCCCCAAAATGCTAGCTCATTTTATCCTAATAACAACCTTGAGAGGTAGGTGCTGTCATTATACCTATTTTACAGATGAGAAAACTGAGGCAATCAGAGGTTAAGTGATTTGCCCAAGGTCTGAGCTAAGTGTCTGAGGCCCGATTTGAACTCGGGTCTTCCTGACTCCAGGCCCAGTGCTCTATCTGCTGAACCACCTAGCTGCCTCTATTATTGTGGTTGTTCTGCTTCCATTGAAACTTAATTATGCTTTATTTAAATGGAAACTTAGACTGTTTCATGAGTGTGGAGATGACCGTGAGTTCTGAAAGGTGATGCTAGGTCAGAGGAGTCTCGTATGTCCTGCCAAGTTAAAAAAGCTTTGAATGTGGTCATGGTGTTGTCCCATATGCCTCTTGTCTAAGGACCAGCCTCTTTAACTTGGAGAGGTTCTTTATCAGGTTGGCTGCAGAGAGAGGAATCTTTTTTGACCACAGCAACTATTTTTTTAAATAAATTTTTATTTACTTCATGAAATATCTCCCAATTATATGTAAAAATTTTTTTTAAACATTCATTTTAAAAATTACGAGTTCCAAATTCTCTCTTGTCTCTCCTTCACCTCTTGAGAAGGCAATATGATATCAATTGTACGTGTGAAGTCATACAAAACATATTTCCATATTAGCCATGTAGTAAAAGAAAACACCCAAAACCCCAAGAAAAATAAAGTGAAAAAAGTTTTGTTCAGTTTTTGCTCGGAGTTCATCAGTTTTCTCTCTGGAGGTGGATAGCATTTTCTGTTATGGGTCCTTTGGAATTGCTTTAGATCGGTGTCTTGATGAGAGTACTTAAGTCTTTTGTAACTCGTTACAATGTTGCTGTTACTGGTACAGTGTTCTCCTGGTTCTGCTCACTGCACTTTGCATTAGTTCATATAAGTCTTCCCAGGTTTTTCTGAAACCATCCTGCTTGTCATTTCTTATAACACAGTATGACTTGATCACAGTCATGTACCACAGCTTGTTCAGCCCTTCCCCAGTTGATGGGCACCCCTCCGTTTCCAAATCTTTGCCACCGCAGAAAGAACGACTCTAAATATTTTTGTACAAATAGGTCCTTTCCCTTTTTCTTTGATCTCTTTGAGGTACAGATTTGGTAGTGGGATTGTTGGGTCAGAGGGTATGCAGTTTTATAGCCTTTTGGGCACAGTTCCAAATTTTTCTCCAGAATGATTGGACTAGTTTACAATTCCACTAACAGTGCATTAGTGTCCCAAGTTTTCCACATCCCCTCCAGCAATTGTCATTTTCCTTTTCTGTCATGTTAGCTAATGTGACCTCCCAAGTTGTAGGGGGGTTGGGATGTGTGTCAATGGAGGGGAGGGCATGGCACGGCTCCATCCAGGAAATCGAAGAGCCTTGAAGTGATGAAGTTTTGAATGGAAGTTAGTTGTGATTGATGCCCCCTCCCTGGGAGGATCTCACGGGCTGAACTGAGTGCTAATTCTACTCTTAGCTTTTTTGTCGATGTTTATTTTTAAAAAGAAAGAGTCAAAAGTAAGTGAAAGATATTTGGTGGCAAGATGTATTCTTGCCCAAGAGTTTTTTTTTTAAAAGATCATTTCTTGAGAATTAAAGTTAGCCTTTACCTCCTTTATACTGTTCTGAATGATAGAAACTTTCACAAATATTATTGGCTTATCATCAAGACTTCTAACAAGGCTTTGTGACTCTTTTGGAGGTGCCTTTACAATTGGATAAAGATTTCATTTTTTTTTTTTAACTCTAGTCTAATTTTGTTGACCTAATTTTTTCTGTAGGTGTTCATCCTGAAAAATTAGAATGGTCAGAACTTTGATTTAGCCAAGGAAGAATTTACTTAGACATTTCTTTGTTCACTAAGTAAAATCCGAAAGCCTAGGATTTAATATTAAAGTTGTTAAATTGGAGTCTGATTTGAGTGGAGCTGTGGAAGATTAACTTGCCCTGTCCAGGCCCTAGTCTCTAAGCAGGCTAACAATAGTCTCCTAAGTATGACTGATAATACCGTGGGTAGAAGAGTGGCCAAAGAGGCCTTGTCAGGGGTCTGCATATATAGTGAGGGTGGTCTCTGAGTGTCCAGCCCAGTGCTAGATGGAGCCCCGGGAACCAGAGGAGGGTTTCTATCAGACTGAGTGAGTCTTTGAGAGGGGAGTATATTCTGCTGTGGCCTGAACTGGACCAGATGGCCTTGGAGATCATTTTCAGCTTTGAGATTCTGGGATTTGTGGAGAGACACAGACAAGAATATCTCAGGATGAAAAGGCATCTAGGGGTTGTGGTCTACAACTCCATGCGGATGGAAGACCTGCATTGATGAGATTGGAAAAAGGCCGGAAGGGCAACGGGGAAACAATGTGGACCTGTAATTAAAATACAATTGTATTTTTAAAAATTGAAGGGAAAAAAATTATACTTATGTGGTGGTGATCCTTTCATCACAGGATCACAGATTTAGAGTTAAAAGTTTACTTCGAAGGCCCAGGGAGGTTGTGAGCTCTGCAGGGCCCCTTAAGTATGAAGTGCCTGAGATGGGATTGGAACCAAAGTCTCCCTAACTGGAAGCCCAGCACCCCAGCCACTGTATCAGGCAGGGGTCAGCAGGGTGTAGTCTGAGGGCCAGATCTGGCCTCACAACTGTTCTTAGTTCAAGGGCTGGACGGAAATAGAAGGCAGGCTGGCTTTGGCCCACAAAGTTTGTGTATCCCAGGGCAGCCAGGTGGCGCAGTGGATAGAGCACCGGCCCTGGAGTCAGGAGGACCTGAGTTCAAATGTGGCCTCAAACACAAAACACTTACTAGCTGTGTGACTGTGGGCAAGTCACTTAACCCCATTGCCTAGCCAAAAAACCCCCCAAAACCCCCAGAGTTTGTGTGTCCCAATGCTATACCACGTGGCCCGAATGACAACAGTGTAGTTTGTCACTGGGCCCGTACTCGGATCCATTCCTCATTGGTAGAACCTGCTGGCCCTGGTGCTTTGTCACCACAGCCCTAGCATGAGAGAACATTAAAACGGGACTTTGGTGGAGGATTTTGAAAAGCATAATGACTTACTGTCACATAAATTTTAAGTTGTACTGATACCTAGATTATATAACTGAATTTGTACAGTTGTTTAATTTACTCGGTGTGAATTGTGGCTGTGGGGTTTATTTCTGACACTTTTGGTGAAAGACAGGTCAGGTAGGGGCAGGGCTGGGTGGCTTTTAAGGTCCCTTCTGATGCTGCAGCTCTCTGATTTAAGGAAAGATAACATAAGAAGTCCTGTAGACAACTCACTGTATAACTCTTGTCTTGCCCTTTCCTTGTAGGCGGAATGGTGCCGTCACTCACATCAAGATTCAGAACACTGGTGACTATTATGACCTGTATGGCGGGGAGAAGTTTGCCACACTGGCTGAGTTAGTGCAGTATTACATGGAGCATCATGGACAGTTGAAGGAAAAGAATGGTGACGTTATCGAGCTCAAGTACCCGCTGAACTGTGCTGACCCTACCTCGGAAAGGTTAGTGCAGCGAGCCCCCAGAAACCCTGCGTTTCACCAGGGGAGGCTTGGGTAAGATCTCGCGTAGAGCCTGTGTGATCGATTCTCCTGTTTACGAAAAGCCTCCAACTGTCTCCAGAGGCTGGTTGGCTATAACGGCCTCAAGCCAGGGAGCCTTCATCCGGGGCAGGAGTTTCCAGAATGTACCTTTGTGCCTCTCATTGGGTGTTGTCAGAGAGGATAGCAGTTAGAAGGTGGCATACGAGAGTCGATGTGTCTTACGGGCGTAAAGAGCCGCTCTCTGCGGGAGCACGCTCGGCCAGTTGTTCAGCGGCACTGCCGACAGATGTCAGTTTAACCTCACAAGTGGAAAAAAGTACGAGAATCAGAGAGCCAGCGTTTTTCATCTGTTCTGTTAAATTAGGTTCCACATGCATGTGCAGAAAGGACTTGGCTTGGAAAGAATCCTCCTGAACTGGTGTTGGTCTGTAATGTGATAACTGCCCCTTGGGGGGACAAAATGGAAGCTGCAGCTCATGAAAGTCCCAGTGTTGGTTTGCTCGGTTTTTGTCTTCCCAAGACAATTCTCTGAACTTTGAAAAAATTTAAGGTCTCCCAATTAGATTTGCATATTTGCTACTTTAAAATGCTGCTTTTAAGTCTTACAGCTTCATTTCTCTGCTGTGTAATTGGCTGTCTAGTTGTTTCTGCAGCTAGCACCACTGCTGGAGTTTCAGATAATAGTGTATCACCTAGCTGGGTTAAAAGTAATTTTTTGAATTTTATTTTCTGCTTCAGAGTATGACTGGCTCATCACATCTATTCTTCTCACTGAAACACAATTCAGAGTCTTGTTAGGGGATCTGTGTTATTGCCTTTATGTAGAAAGGCCAGCACCTGGCTTCCCTGTGGGGCTCCTGAGGAGAAAGGCAGACACGGTGGTAATCCAGGGTGCTGCAGGATCTCTTTTCTTAGTCAATCCAGCCTCTGACTCTGTAGCCAGGCAGCTAATTTTCACTCCAGCAGGTAGCTGCAATACAGGTTGGAATTATGGAATCATTTTGAATGTCTGATTTCATTTGTAGTGGTAATCCTTTATCTGGAGGCCACACGCCTCGGGTAAGGCTCTTTCTCTGCCTCTACTGCCTCATAACTGCTTGTATTTACTAGTCCTTGAGACAGCAGTGGGCTTGAAGAGTTCTCCTGCTTTAGCAGCTGTTGGTGAGCAGATACAAAGTGATAACCTTCGCTTCTTAGAGATGAGAGTGGTCCAAGAGGAGCTGGGAAAAGATGAGAGTGCTTTCCTTTCAAAATGTTTTTATTATTAGCAACTCCATTTCTCAACATATATTTCCCCTGTCTCCATCACCCAGAGAGCCATCTCATCGAATACAGAATGAAGAAGAAAGAGGGACAAAACATGGTTCATCAGAACTAACCTACTTATCAACCAAGTCTGACATGATAGGCTGTGTTCAGCTCCCATGATCTCCACAGAGGTGGAGAGTGCGGCAAGGTCTTACCTTTCCAGAAAATTTCTGATGTTGTTTATGGTGGTTTCTCCTCCTTCTCCTTTTCCTATGTCCTTCCCCTCAATGTCCTTCATTCAGTTTTGAACTTCTTTAGGACAGTTTTTCATTTTCACATCCCCAGGCCCAGCACAAGGACTTGGACACGAGCATTTCATTGTTTGTCAATTCAAATTGAATTGAAGCAATTTGATAAGCGTCACGCAGCCCCTGCCCACTTGGGAGCTGCCTAGTCAAGGCCCCTATCTTTTTAATTGTGTTCGGGGATTCTGGTTCTTTTGTAATAGTTTGGAGCACTTTGTGTAATAAGATTGAAAACCATGACAGCCCCAGAATTTGTTTATGTTATGTAAATTTCAGGTGGTTTCATGGGCACCTCTCTGGGAAAGAAGCAGAGAAATTACTGACTGAGAAAGGAAAACATGGAAGCTTCCTGGTGCGGGAAAGCCAGAGCCACCCAGGGGACTTTGTTCTCTCTGTGCGCACAGGGGATGACAAAGGCGAGAGTAACGATGGCAAATCAAAAGTGACGCACGTCATGATTCGCTGCCAGGTAAAGCCCCGAGGGAATGTGTGGGTTGCCAGAGCTGCTTCTTTGGGTGGCAGTACCCCTGCTGCAACAGGCCTGGAGCTGGGGAGACCAGTGTAGCATCCTTGTTGCTTGGTGAGCCCAGGGCTTCTGTGTTTGCACTTTGTTGTTTATTAAAATTGATTGATTGTTTCAAGACTCTATTAAATTTTTGATTTTCAGTCCATCCCTGGCAGGTTGAATCATGCGCCAGTGAATCTTCTTCCCTGCAGCATCTCTAATATGTTTATGTTTGATTACATCTGAAGTCTGTCTCCAAGGCTCATCTGCCAAAGTTTATGGCCACAGATCCTTCTTAGGATTGTCGCAGTCTGCGCCTTTGACTACATTTGCCATTCTGCAACAGAGTCCTGGCATTAAGGCTCTTTTGGAAATGGAATGGGGGGGGGGAGTTGCTTTGTGCTGGTGAGCTGGCCCTACCTAAGAAGTCAGTTTGTTCACTATTTAATTTGTAAAATCGTGTTCTATGTAAAAATGGTCCTAATCTTTCTGCAGTTTTTTTTCCTAAACCAGCAATCCCAAATACTTACATTTTTAAATATCATCTTTAATGTCTTTTTGTCATTTTCCCCAGATAGCCTTTTTTCTGATCTCCTAGTTAGAAAATGTTCCCAGATATGCAGCTTAAAGTCCCCCCCTTTCTTTTTGGTTGAAAAATCCATCCTTTTTTTAAACTCACATTCGGAGGGTAGAAGGAAAATGGTCAGCAAAAAATGGTCAGAAAATGAAGGACTGGCAATTTGAAAATGGAAGGGAGTCCAGGGCTCTGGGTGCCTTTCATAGAGTCAAGATAGTGAAACTGAGGGGCGGCTAGGTGGTGCAGTGGATAGAGCTCCAGCCTTGGAGTCAGGAGGACCTGAATTCAAATCCAGTCTCAGATACTTGATACTTACTAGCTGTGTGACCCTGGGCAAGTCACTTAACCCCAATTGCCTCACTAAAAAGAAAAAAAAATTTTTTTAGTGAAACTGAGGCCAGGGAAGGGACTAACATGTGAAAGGCCACAGAGTGAAGGAGAGGCAGTGCCAGGACTAGAATCTAGGGTGCCTCCCGCCTCTCAGCCCTGCACCCTGCTTTTGCACTGCTTGTCTCCATTAACAGAAGGCCCAGAAGAGGCTACTTAGGAGGCCATCCCTTTCTTAATTTCAACCCCTCACTTCCATCACTGCTTGTAACCCCAGGTAGCTCCTGAGGAGAAGGGGATTTTTGTGGATTAGCACAGTGGTAGCATTTCTTTGCAAAGCTGCTGTCTGTATTAGCCTGTCAACTATCATCCTCTTGGGGCCCTCTCATGCTTGGTCATTGTTGCTTCCTTTCCCTGCATGCCTTCTGATTAGTCTTGACCTTTCCAACAAGGAGTGTCTTCTGGTGTCCTTTGGAAAAGAAAGATTGATCGATCCTAGGCCTTTGGGTAGCTGGGAATCACCATAGACTATTATTTGTCTTGGAAGGATCTGAAATATGATGTTGGTGGAGGAGAGAAGTTTGATTCTTTAACTGACCTTGTGGAGCATTACAAGAAGAACCCGATGGTGGAAACTCTGGGGACAGTACTACAACTCAAGCAGGTAAGCTCCCTCCCCCTCCAGAAAAAGAGGAGATTATCCCTTACTTTTGCTGTGCAGAGTAATTTGCACCAAGTTTTCATGTGGTCTGCAATAAGACTTTACCCATTTGGTTTGTTCAGAGTAAGCAAGCTGCTTATTAAGTCTTAGGAGTGATCATTGTTGAAAATCCCTGTGTGACTCAGTGGTGAATATTGTTATACTTCCAGCCAACTGTGAAACTCATTTACAAAGAGTCACAAAATCTTAGAACCAGAGAAGGAACAGTAGAGCTTGCCTGGTCCAGTGTCCTCGTTCTCCATTTAGGAAGCTGAGGTCAAGAAAGGTGATGCGACTAGCCCACGGTCACTGAATTTAGAAAAGGCCAGAGCCAGGGTTGGAACCCAGCTCCCATTCCGTATTTTCCATTGCACCAAAAAGAATGAATACACTTAATTGTGCCAGCAGCCTAGGCAGCCTCTGTGTGTTGGTCAGCATGTCAAAGCATATATGAAGAGGGTTATATCTTACATGCAGAGCTGAATTGAAACCAAAGTTGTGCATTTTGAAATTTTTATTGTGAATTGTTGCATATCCTAGGCCCCTTTGGTTCTGTGGATAACAACTTTGTTATGTAACACAGGAGACATTTTGGTATTAATTCAGGCTTCTTTAATATTTCTATTTTATGTCAAATGATCATCATGACTAGCCCCTGAATACAACGCGTATCAATGCTGCAGAGATTGAAAGCCGTGTGAGAGAATTAAGCAAATTGGCTGAGACCACAGATAAAGTTAAACAGGGTTTTTGGGAAGAATTTGAGGTAAGTTACCACTTTTTAACAGATGTTCATTTAGATGGGAGATAAATTGATCTAGTGTTTAAAATTTGAGTATAGAAATCAGGGGTTCTGAGTGTCTTATTGTCAGCGTTGCACAGTTTGCTGAAGGGGAGGCTGCTTGTAAGTTGAAAAGGTGCTCCCTTCTGGGAGGGTGGATGAGACTGTTGACATTGAAGATGTAAGCCAGCAGCTTCACTTGGCTGTCTTAGAGTGGATTGCTGGCAGAAAGCGGGAAGGAGGGAGTCTGTCCCTCTTTACTCTAGTTTTCCAGCAGTTAGCCAGGGTCTTGAGAAAAATTCACTGAAATCAGTTTTACTGCAAAGAATAAAAGAAAGGAAAAATCTCCTCATTGTATTATAAAAGTTCAAGGTCATTACTTTTGATAGATCAATGTCTGTGTGTGTGTGTGTGTGTGTGCATGTGCGTGTGAGTGCTAGGTACACATACACACTTGGTAGAAAAGAGTCAGGGATGGAAGTGTAGGACTTCGGGGCAGGGAAGAGAAGACGCATTCCTACAGTGCCTGTTACGTAGCAGTCAGTGTGCTAAGTACTTGTTACGACTATTATGCCATTAGATCAGGCCTGCCCAGGTGATGGCCCACAGGCCACGCAAGGTCCACCGAAGGATTTCCAATAGATAAAACGTAAGGTTGCCACTGCGCATGCTGTCATTTGTCATGTGACCCGTGGCAACCAGCCATCGTCAGCCTGTCGGCCTGTCTCTAGTATAACCTAACCTGCCTGTGGCCTGAATAAGTTCACAAGTTGTGCAGGTCTGCATGAGGTCCTCACAACAGCCCTGGGAGGGAGGTACTGGTATTATCCCCATTTTGCATTTGAGGAAACTGAAGCAAACAGAGGTAAAGCAACTTACTCAGGATCGTTAGTAAGTGGCTGAGGGTAGATTTGAACTCAGGTCTTCCTGACTTTCTGGCTAATTATATATTAATAGCACCATTCCTTTGCTTGTCATGAAAGACTTTTTCAGAAAGTCTCCAAACATTACGTGAAAGTTTAAGCTGTTATTTAAATGACCTGTTGTGTGACTTTGTGACATCATCATCTAATAAAGAAGAATTTAACACTATTTAAATATCCAAGAGGCGGCATCTAGTGGACAGAATTGTCAGCCTTAAAGTTAGGAAGACCTGAATTCAGGTCTCCCCTCTGCTCTGCCCCACCTGTGTCCTCAGGCTTCTTAGTGCTGCAGGGGCTCCACAGAGACTAGAAACTGCACAAGGATGCTGCCTGCGTGGCTAGAGGAAGGTTTTTTCAGCGGCTTTCCATCCTGGGGTCCAGCCTATTGTCCCCTGCCCCCCATCCCCCAATAAAAAAAGATGTGCGAAAGACCATAAAGTGTTGTGGGCACCTGCCTTTCGTTTCGATTGCAGGATTGTGAGCTGAAAGGGGCTTAGAGGTCATCTCGTTGTACAGGATTGAGCTTCAGCAAAGGGAAAGGACTTGCCCAGGGTCACCCATAGGAAGTAACTGGGCTGGGCTGGGCCTTGAACCTCAATTCTGACTCCAGACCTCAAGGCTCCTTCTCTTGCGTGGAACTCCCAGGAGCATGTTTTTAGTTGCTGGAAAGTGGCCCTGCGTTTTCAAGTTATGCCTGAGATGACTCTTTACAACCATCAGTTTCCCCTCAAGTAACTATTAGCTTCCAAAAAGTGAGAGAAAGATGACAGAGAGCAGTGGCCTAGGGAGGGAAAGGAAGGAACAGAATAACTGTCTCATTTATCCCTTTTTTTATTGGGGCAGTGATCAGAAAGAGGAGTCAGATCTTTCCAGGGAGCTCGTTGTAATAAGAATTTTGCTCTTGTTCGTCTTGATGGTGTCAAGATTTGGGCTTGCCCTCCTGGTCCTGGAAAAAGAGGGCTTGTCCTAAATGCAGCGCTGGCCTTTTTACCCTCCTGGACCACACACAGACCCAAGAGCTCTGTGGAACATTGTGAACATCAGGGAGGGATAAATGCCCGTTGTCTTTGGAAAGGTCTGCTGAGTGGTGGCTCAGCCGGGGCAGGCGAGGTGGCCAGATCTGGGGCTGCACTGAGCATGGATTCTAGATTGTTTGCCTTTTCTTTTCATTTGCTCCTCACCCCTTTTAGGTGTGTGCTCTTGTCTTCATTGTTTCAGCTTTAAAGACTGCCTCTGGGTGGGGTAAGGGTGGAGGCAGGAGACAAAACAAATCATTACCAGGAAAAGTGGGCTCACGGAGGCAGGTGCTTAGCTGGAGTGTGCTCAGATAGGAAAATTGGTCCCAGAAAACTGATGTTGTCATCTTGATGATGTTGCCTTCTCTTCACCTTAGCTGTTTTGGGGAAGGTGATAAATTAGAGATTTGTCCCTCCTTCCAGTGTGACGTGATGGTCTGTGAAAGGAGCCAGCTTCATCAAATGTTAATCCTGCCATTAATTTAGCTTTGACAGCCATGACTTGTTTGGATCTCTGGAACGCTCTGCAGGTGTCATTGATAATCAGCATGCCCAGGTTCTGGTGTTTAGAGGTTCCTCGGCCTTTAGACACTTTGCTAATAGAGAGGAGCTTGCTTTCTGAAGTACCCTCACCTCAGAAAAAATGCAAGTGGCTGGGCTGTGAAAAGGAGGCGCCGAGGATCACGAGCTTGGCTTTTCTGTCGAGCTGCTGGCGTCTCCTTCCCTTAGTCCGTGTGCCTGTGCTAAGGGAGGCGGCGGCAGAGTGAGCTGAGCCACATTCTGCACGGACGAATGTAGAGGTGGGTCTGGGTACTGTCGTTAGGTGTCCTGGATCTATGGATTATATCAGAAAAGAACCCAGCCGGAGCCTTTGTGCCGAGGTACCTGCCCAGTACTGCATTCAAAGGGCGTTTGTTCCCTCTGAGTTCTTTCACCCTAGGCAGCCAGGGGGCGCTGTGACCTAAACGGCAGAGGCGAATCTTGCTGCTTGCTGGCCTGCTGCAGGAGCTGAGCCCAGGACGTGGCTGGTTCCTCCTGCCCTTCACCCTCGTGTTCCTCCACCCATCCTGCAGCATTTTCCCACCCCATTGTCCCGAAGCAGTTCATCCAAGCCTCCTTTCTCCTCCCTTCTCTTTATCAGGTGGTGCCACTTCAGAGATTTGAAAGGATTGTCTCGTTGTCCAGTCTTTAAGCCAGAGCTACAGATACCAAAGAGGATAATAGCTCCCCTTTTTTTAGTTTTGGATTTCTTCTGCTCTTGCCATCCTCCCTGACTTTTCTTGATCTGCTGCTTATTCCCTACTGATTAAAGTTATTTGAGGTGCCTTTGAACTTAATTAAGGCATGCGCTGGTACAAGCACTTCTTAGACTAATCCATGGATTGTTATGGTTTGGATTTTATACATTTCAGAGTGACTCTAAAGAAAGATTCATTATAACTGGCAAGAGCAGCTCTAAGCAGTTTGTAGGTAACCAGTTATATAAAAGACACAGCCTGCTGGGACTTCAGATCCCTGAGTGAAGGATGCTGGTGTTTACAGTGAGGGCAGAAGGGGCCAGGATTTTAGAATTAAATCTTCAGCTTGGTCTGAGGCTCGTCTTTTGGGTAGATGTTCCTGTTCTCCAGTTCAGGCTCCTTGTTGGGGGGAGGGAGCAGGGCCTTCCTGCACCAGCCTTGGAGACCTTGCCACTGCAGAGGCTTTTCAGGAGCCAGCTGCCTGTGTCTGCACACTGTGCCATTGTGGAGCATTTTGGCTTTCGGGTGAAGTCTCTTTAATCGAGATTATGATTTCCTGGTGCTCTCGTTTGTGTCTCCGGAAAGCCAGGTTTCATTTTGTTACTGAAGTCCCTCTGTTTCTCCAGTGGGGATGTGGCTAAGTCAGATCTGGAGCTGTTTTTAGGTTGCCCAGGCCTGCCCCACTGCAACCATTTCACTGACAGCTAAAAGCTGTCGTGGAGACTTCTGGTGAGTCTAGTACATGACGTGTCTCCAGTAGAAACTAGTGTGTGCCTTCAAGCCACCGCCCTTGTTAATTTCCCTTGAAAGTTACTGTCTCTTTCTTTGGCAATCTGTGTGTAGGTTTCCCTTTTGTGATGCAGTTTGATTTCAATTCCATGTAAAAGCTGTGGGTTGTGCCCTTTGGTCCTGAATAAATACTAGCATTTAGAGCTGGAAAGGTCTTTAAACACCCCCTAGGACAGGGGTTCTTAACCTCTTTGGCAGTCTGGTGAAGCCTAGGGATCCCTTCTCAGAATCAGGTTTTAAATGCAGAAGATAAAATACAAAGGATTAAAAAGGAAACCAGTTGGGAGCAGCTCATTGGTGCAATGGTTAGAGCACTGGAGTCAGGAGGACCTGAGTTCAAATTTGGCTCAGAAACCCTGGGCAAGCCACTTAACCCTGATTGCTTCTAAATAAATAAATAAATAGAAATTAAAAAATGAAATAAAAAAGGAAACCACTTATATTGAAATGCATTTATACAGATACTTCTTAAAAGTTCATGAATTCCAGTTAAGACCTCCTAGTCCAGCCGTTTCATTTTATAGATTAAGAAACTGAGCCCCGGAGAGAGAATAGGTAACTTGCTTAAGGTCCCCTACCTAGGTAGTAGCAGAGTTGGGATTCAAACCCAGGTTGTCAGATTCCAAATCTGATGCTTTTCCCACCATAACATAATATGCTTTGGTGGTTTTTTGGTAGGAGTTCGCCCCAGTGGCAAAGTAGCAGCACCCCTGTGGAAATTCTATTCTCTCTCATTCCTCCAAAAGAGGGCCAGTTTAATACTTAAGCATTTTCCAGGAGGGAAATAAATACAGAACAAACTATGGGCTAGATTCAAGATTCTCAAGGTAGGCAGAGTTCCCATCACCTCTGGTAGGAGAAGAGTTATAATTTTCGTACAGGTAAAGGCCTGTGTAAGCCCCTGTGGGCCTGGAATGATCATCTGGTCTCCTGCTGATCATTTTACTTTGAATCATTTTCCCTTTTGTGTGTCCACTGCCACTACAGAGAAGGCAGTCACTTTGTTGAAAGAACAGACA